TCAGATGGACTCGCGGGTCGCCTTGTCTCCCGTCCCCACGCTCCTGATCCTAACAAATGCAAATGTTACGAAAGCCTGAAGAGCGCAACCGGTCACATGGCGTCCATATGAATCAACGGCGAGGAACTCCAGGAAGCGGAGAGGTGTGTACGAAGCAGAATGATTATGCACGGGCTGTAGCTCATGTATTAACCATACCCCGAATTTACACATCAAGGCAGCAATTGAATTCGAAATAGATTTTTGATGCCGACCAACACGAGACCTGATTAAATGATGAAGTTGAAGATATGGGAACAAGGCTTTCGCTGTTGTGCTGTGATCCGATGACTTTGCATTGTCTTTGATACAGTCTGCCAATAACCAGAGCATATGTATCTGCTTTCATTTCTCTGCTCTAAGCGACAAAGTACACACTGTTTTTTCTTCTCGTTCATTCCAGCTTTTCTCTCCAATCCTCTTACAAAAGAAGCGCTGCCGAGACTTTGCTATAGAAAAAAAAAAGAAAGAAACAAAGCCATTAAGTGACGGTGGAGTTTCCTCAGGGGTCAGATTTAGCACTGTTCCTGCTGGATGTACGGAGAATTAGCCATTTCAATTTTCTTCCCATATTCTCATTACAACAACGACAGCTGCCAAAGGGTCCAGGGCGTTCATAATTACACTTTCAATGGGAAAAAGCTCACTTCTGATAACCTCATTATTGCTCTGCCCATATTGAAACGTGTGGCTCTCATTTGATGGGAGAGGCTTCCACTGGGTTTGGAGACGTGGTTATGTCCACTTGTTGACCCATTAAACCAGCAATTTACATCAACATTGATAATCATACAACAGTGGCTCAAGACGCTAGCTCAAAGAACGCTTAAGATATGGTTTTTATTGAAGCCAGATAAACATGACATGTGAATCCAATAGACATGTATGTTTTTCTTTATATAGGCTGAAGGCAACTGAGACCATCCTGACCTCGAACGCAAAAAATTCAGTTATAAATACAAGTGGGCGGCATGGTGGCTGAGTGGTTGGCGCTCTTGCTTCTTAGCAAGAATATCCTGGGTTGGAATTCCAGTCGGAACAGGGTCTTTGTGAACGGAGTTTGCCTTTCTGAATGTTCTCCTCGTGCCTGTGTAGGTTTTCTCCAGGTGTTTCGATTTCCCCTACGTCTAAAAATATGTGCATTGGTAAATCCTCCAGGGCCAGTCCTGACCACGAGCATCAACATCTGGAGAAGGGTCCCCGGACGCTGTTACTACAGCGACCACTGCACATGAGAGACGCCTAGTGGCAGGATCTGGGTCAAATGCAGAGGGTCAAATGCCCTACGGGGATTAATAAAGTACCTTTATAAAGATTACAACTAGAATTTCCGCCAAAGCAACAGTCATAAAAGTTCAGAAGTTTCTCTTAAATATTACAAAGCAAATGGTAAATATCCATCCATTTTCTTCCCTTTAATCCATTTCTGGGTCAGGGGGGTGGCAGTCAGAGATGCCACCCAAGTCTCATAGCACCAGCCCCTCACTGACCCTCTGCAGGTGGTGAGTCCACAGGAGGACGGCTGCTCTCTGAGTGTGAGCATAGCCTTGATCTTTCAGTGGGGGCTTTGGGCAAAGTGGGGTTAAGTGTCTTGCCCAAGGACACAACGACAGCAGTCATCAGTGGGAGTCGGTGGAGAAGGTGTGGAGGTGGGAATTGAACCCACAACCTTCAGGCCTGAAGGCCAGTGCTCTACCAACTGAGCTACTGTCGCCCCCAACAAATGGTAAATAGTCACATTTAAAAACTGTTTTCGTTCTTACATTCACCCATTCACACACGTGTGTATGCAGACACATGAAGCGAGGCGAGTGAAGTGTCTTGCCCATGGACACACACAAGCTGGAATCACCCCAGGCAATCTGAGGGAGGGTCAATCTGACTGCTCCACCAATGTTTATACCAAGAGTGGGATTTGAACCATCAACAGAACGACTGCTGCTCAGCTCTTACAGCAGATTTCATTCCTACTGGTTCACGTTTCATCTCTAAACCAGTTTTAAATAATTTCACAGTAAAAAATGAAATGAAAATGATCAAATGTGAGGTAATAATTGCTCGAATCAAGTGTTTTTTTTTATTTAAATCTTACGTTGCGCACATTCTGATTTGCTAATGGAACAACACCATTTAGTATTTCTAGAACTGTTGCCTTATTTTGTTTTAATTCCAAGGGAGACATTTCTTTTATATGTTTAAAAACAAGCTTTGTCCCATTGCCCAAGCTGTTTGTTGCTGCTTCCGTCATTAGAAGATGTTAGATACTACATATATTTTTAAGTTCTGAAACCCACTTGACATTCCGACAGTAGCCTCTGGCCCGGCGCTCAGAGTATTACCAGGAGAAAGCAGCAATGTCAGAACGAGATATGACGGAGCAGCAACCTGTGTCCACTCTGAGCCCTTTCATTACAGACGCTGATAAGTCTGCAGCTCTCAAGCAGTCTTCCGCTTCAATGACAAAAAAAATTATTTGACCAACAGCGATATCGTTTTAAGGTCTGTGTACCATAACAAGAGCTGTTTCGCAAATAATCAAACTCCTGCAGGTGGCACTGACCGTCCACCTATCGCCGCTTTGATCTCCCTCCTCCGCTGGCTTTTCCATCAAAGCTGCAATATAATTTCCCAGTGGGTAACGGGCACCGCACTGCAGACTCCCAGTGTAATGTACTGTGGCGGGGAAACTCGCAACTTGGAAGGCGCTCTTTGTGGAAGACATTTGCATTCAAATCATTGAGTCTGAAATTGGTTCTACCTGTCTGGGATCGGGACCATCTCTATTGGGTCTCCAGTCCCAGGTAAGTGTGGATTTATTACCCCCAGCACATGGAACGCTAATGACCTTTGATTGAGCACCCAACTGTGTTTTTTTTGGGGCACCTGTTAAATAAACTGGAACTCTCTCCACTTGAGGAAGCTTCTGATGGGTCCCAGGGCAGTTTTCCATCCAAGTCCATGAAGAGCGATAATGACTATGAGTTTCATATTAAAGCTGAGCGGGTTTGAGGCCGAGGCGTCTGGTCGAGCCTCACATAAAGAGAGCCGACTTTACCGGAGCAGAGTAATAGTCAAAGTTTCTCCAATTTCCCTCTTGGATCGTATATATTAAATATGGGCTTGGAGATATGGCCGGAAGAATTAAATCCATTTTATGGGCAAATTCCCTTTTCTCATTTGAACTCAGAGGAAAAACCCACACTCCCAAGAACATGTATTATTAAAGTCTAACTTGTGGAATGATTAAAGCCTGTTGTGTCTGCGTCGCTAAAGAAACATTCAGAGTCAAACAGTGAAGTGTTTCTGTGGAAAGGCAAACACTACAGAATTGGTTTAGTTCATTGAAAAAGTAGCAAGTCATCGTTTAGGACTCATGGGTAGTGTCTTTTTTTCACTCTGGACGACGAGATTCAGATTAATGTATTTGCCATTTGCCGTAAAACCACATTGGAATAGATTTGCAAAAGTCCCCGGTGTGCACAAAACAGTACATCAATAAAACAAGTTAAAATGATCTGTAATCTATCCATATGTTTATGCAATTCAACATTAACAAATAATAAATCTGTTCTGATGAATTATCAAACAGGATTTAACTGAGATTCACTTGTTATAGCTTTTTAGGCCCAGTTTATACGGAGACAATGCAGCAGTAATACGCTGAGTTACGCTCAGTAGGGGGCGCTCTTTCACAGTGACTGCCCTGAGTCACTGCCCCTGACGAAGACTTTTGAGGCACAGTTTTCAGAGTGCCTCCTTCTCCATTTCTTTCATTGCAAACAGTTTTCTCTAACCCATGAGTCCGATGGGCAGAAACGAGACTTTTGGCATTTCTTGATTATAAAAAAGTTCTAATCCTGATTATTATTGCATGAATTGAAAGCACTTTTTCAAAACTTTAAACAAACATATCTTCTCTTAACAACCAAAAAAGTATATTAATTTTGCACATGATATAAAACAAAGCTTTGGAATGTTTTGCAACGTGTTAAAAAAGTAAAACATCCAACTTTAAAAGCACCACAAAAACCAAAACTGCTAAAAATGGACTTACACTGAAAATGAAAACACGAGGAATTTTCTCTTTCTCAATATTTCCATTTCGAACTATGTACTTGTTTATCTTTGCCTGTTTACGTGAACATATGTTTACTGGTTTAAGTTGACTCTTGGTATTGTGTAGCCTGGCCTTATCCATCCGTACACTCTGCTCAATCATCATTCCCCCATGTTAGCGATTACAATTTGTCGGTTGAATTTGTCGGTTGAATTTCGACCGACCAATCAGAGAGCGCGGGAGGCGGGTGTTGTAGTTAGATGTGTGTGACGTCAAGAATTTGCGTCGAACGGGCAGGTTCTAGTTTGGCGAAGAATGTGATAGTAAAGTAATCTGGTCTGGTTCTATCAAGAAATTGAAGGAATGTTTAGCAAATGTAATCACTGGTCAAGATTGTGGCGCTACTCCCCACGGGCTCCGTTAGAGGCAAAGGAGATGCTAAAGCTAGGCTAAATGCTAACAACTCACTCGGGCTCATTACATACGTCACGGTAAACTCAGATCCAATCGTTTCAATCTGCAAAAGGAGTTAGCCCCTCCCACCTGTTAACGGAGTCAATGGAGCAAATCCAGACCTTAGTATGAAATGTAATGTGTACTATGGTGTGGTACGACCAGGCTAGGTATTGTTTTAAAAAAAATGTCACGTCTAAATGCCATTGAACCGGGCGCCAGTTCAGAAGAGAATAAACAGCTGATTCTTTCTGTGATCCCAGACACCTTTTGATTCTTTTTAAATCTAGTGAAATTGAAGTTGAAGCCAATAATTCCCTTTGGCTGGCGTGTCCACAATTTGATACAGAAATCAGACAAAAAGATTCTCCAAGTTTAACATCTGCATTTAATTATCTTTACAATCAGATACAGAATATTCAAACAAATGAGAGCTCCTAAACTATGCTATGCTGTCCCTCTCTTCTTACCCTGCGCTAACCTCTCCCCAGAACTCAACCCAACAGTTTTATCAAGACGTCTGATGACGTCACTTGTGGGCGTCTCCCGAATGTTCATTTCGGGTGTGCTGACGTCCCTTGTCCACTGGGAGGCGTTAGAATGTCAGAATGCCGTTGGTGAATCTCCCAGTCTGCCTCAAGAGAGATTAGCCAGAAGGTGTTTTGGACTTTGGTCTCGACAGAGAGACAAGAATGTTTATTTCTGGAGTTAATAATTTGTCCCGTTTTGAAAGTTGGTATCTCTATGACTGATTGTAGTTTCTCCATTTGACCCTCTTTATTCCTGTTTGCAATCCTTGTCCTTGGGGCTTTTCCCCGTGCACATTCTTCAGAGGGCCTATTTTCAAAATCATTAGTATACAACATTTTCATTATACAACAAAGTATTACCAACTCTCGCCGCAATTACATACATGAAAGAAACTCTCTCACTTGCCTTGAGGAATGAATAACATACATTTATTTTGTTTAGCTGCATTTCTTTGAGTCAAAAACATTTTCCCAGCATCCAATTTGAAGCCTTCGGTGCTGAAGTTACGGCCGCTGCTATAAGCTAAAAGCCCCATGTTTAGCGCAGATGTATTTACAGCCACCAGTGAGCTCGAAACCCCGGGGCACTGACTGACAAGCTTGTACAAATCAATTTTGGTAGCCTGCTGGTCCTAAGCAATACGTGACACTGCAGCTGTACTCCCCGGCACCAGTCCGAGAATACTTTACTGACACTGTGAAATCAGATTAAAAATGCATTTGACCATTGATCACTGATGCACCGTCATCGACTGCTCCACCTTTCCACACATTCTGCATTGATTAAGAAAGCCCACAGCTCGGATCCATACACCGACCATCAAATATGGTTTTTTCTCAGTCCAATAACAAGTCGGAAAGTGCAGAGGGAAAAAGCCGCGCCGTCCAATAAATACAGGATGTAAAACTGTAGGATTTAAAAACCAAAGTCATAACGTCGTGTCAAGTGACCATTTATTGGATTTTATTTTTAATCGAAGTTATCTGTGGCTTCTCTGGACGGCACCGAGGGCTCAAATAAGCAAAGAGAACTAGTACGTCAGTGAGTAAGTAAGTAAGTAAGTAAGTTTTTATTTATATACCGCCTTTTCACTGCAGATCTGAGTCTCAAAGCGGTTTACAATTGTTAATTATGGGCATTTGTCTCTCACTCCACACAGAGATGGGAGCGGGGTCTCCAGTACAGGAGGCGCATTCTAGAACTATTGGACATGTTTTTAGTGGTAGGGGAAACCGGAGTACCCGGAGGAAACCTACGCAGACACGGGGAGAACATGCAAACTCCTCTCAGAAAGGCCCTGGTCCGACTGGGATTCGAACCCAGGACCTTCTTGCTGAGAGGCGAGAGTGCTACCCACTCAGCCACCGTGCCGCCCGCAGTGAGAAATCTTTACTGATAAAGCGCATTTCACAGACCAAGGTCACACAAAGAGCTTTACAATGTTCAAAGTGCCGATATTTTTGCCGCAAACTAACGATACTGATAAAAACTTTTGCACACTTAAAAACGTGTCACATGTCATGCCCCGGGTCACACTGACAGAAATATGAAAATAAATGAAAACAAATGCATGGAAGATTCTGCCGCGGCGTTAAAACATAGAAGAAACTTAATCTAGGTTTTGATTCGTTAATCCAACTCGTTCTAAGTGCTGGAAAAATATAGGCCACCTGTAACTGAACGTTGCGGCGCTAATTAAATCACTAAATTATGTAGAGTCTCCATAGGCCCAGGCACGCTTCATATGGAGGTGCGTTTCATTTACCTCACCACTACTGCTGTTTCTCATGGATTAAGGACTATTGTTGTTCTCTGCGTCCGTCTCCAAGGTGAAAATAAGTAAGTAAGTAAGTAATCTTTATTTATATACCGCCTTTCACAGACCAGAGTCACAAAGCGGTTTACAATTGTTATTAAAATTAAAAAAGTAACACCATGCACGAGTAATTAGCTTCTCTGTTCTTGTTCGGAGAAACCTGAAAGCAAAATGTAAAGTATTGGAGCTTTTTTTTTTTGTTTTTTTTTTATGTATGTCAATATGTATCCTGCCAACCTGCCACCCTTCCAATATTGAAATACTGTGTCCTTATGATTATATTCTTACTATCACTTTACTATTATGTTGTTATTATTATGAACTCATATGATTATTGTCATTATTATAATGAATTGTTAATGTCCCTTTTTTATCTTTGTTTATTGTGTATCTTTCTCACTGAAGCTTATCTCAAAATGGGCTTATGTAACGTACACGCTACACACACTACACACACAATACACTACACACATACAACACACACAATACACTACACGCACACAACACACACACTACACGCACACAACACACAATACACTATACACACACTACACACACAATACACTACACACACAATACACACACTACACATACTACACACACAATACACTATACACACACTACACACACTACACACACAATACACTATACACACTATACACACAATACACTATACACACTACACACACACTACACACTACACACATACTACACACTACACACACAACACACAATACACTATACACACACTACACACACTACACACACAATACACTATACACACTACACACACACATTACACACACACTACACACTACACACACACACACACACTACACACAACACACACTACACACACTACACACACATCCAAACATTAAGCACAAACACCTAAATGAGCTGCACTGAGTAATGTTGTTTACTCAAAAAGGTCCTGTTCCGACTGGGATTCAAACCCAACCCTTTCTTGCTAAGAAGCAAAAGTGCTAACCACTCAGCCACCGTGCCGCCCGAAAAAGTTACCATAAACACAAGATCCCAGTGCTATCCAGCCAACTTCAGCTCTGCCGACATGTTATACCTCCGTGTGAATCCAGTCGGTGACTTTGTTTTACATTGTAGGACGCTAATGTCGATAAATGTGTAAATATTTGTCATTCAGCCAACTTCAGCTCCATCAAATATGAACCAATATAGACATGTCATACCTCACTTTAAAGCCTGAAGCCTGGACAATTTTGGTGACTAAAATGTTTGGACACTCCTGACTTAGAGGCAGAAGTGGTGCGAAAGTTGTCATTTGACTGAAAAAATGCTAAAAACGAATTAGAGGCAGGTATATTTTGAATACAGGTATAAACAATGTACCAGGAGGATTGTGAGTAATACTGCATGTGACCCGGACAGTTGAGTTTGCAGACCCTGATGAGAGGACGATGGGTCGAGGCGGACGCAGTAATCAGACGGTAAAGAGTCATGTTTCCGCCGGGCCGTGTCGTGCTGAGCAGAGCAGGCTGTGAATGAGGAGCGGTTGTTGTTGAGCGCTGGTCCACACGGATAACCCGCTCTGAGTCTGCATTAGCACGGATCAGCTCCTGAGGGCCTGTTCCTCCGAGCCCCGCAGCTAAATCACTCACCTCCACATCCGCTCACACACCTCACCTCGTCTGACTCCAGCCAACTCCATCAATCTCCTCCGTCTCAAACATCTCCACTGTTCCTCACACTCTCTGCATTAAGCCCACTTCCAAACTCCCCCCAACAGCTTCCTATTGTCTGCTTCCTCAATATCCATCCGTCACTGTGTTTTTTCATCTCCCCTGTCTCTATAAGTGTTGGAGTGCGGCTAAATAGTCCCAAACTTGTCCCTGTGGGGTGTGAGCAGTGGCCCGAGCCGCAGGGAGCTGCAGGAGCACAGTGAACGCTGCAGTGGTTAATGAGGCGCTTGAGTAAGACGCACCTTGACTCCACATTGATCACAGGCCCCTGTTTCTCCCACTCTCTGGGAAGCCATTTGTCAAGGTGATAATTTATTTCGCAGAGGTGATGTGGTGAGCCGGGACCAGCTTGTTTTTTCTTCATGTGGTCCAGGACTTGACAAATATCATTTGAACAGTGGTATCAGGAAATAATGTGTAACATGAGACACAGCGGAGCCAGAACAACAAAAGAGCACTTTGATGTTTCACTGAAGACAGGGGCAGACTTTCTACATCTCCTTCCTCTGCCCAAACAAAGCGTTCTCTAAATGACAAGCATTAGAGCAACCTGCGATGAAGGGAGGAGCTGAGAACCCAATGCACTTGTTTTGATCATGCAGCACAAGCCCAATTAATGCACAGTAAAGTGTGTTCAGAGCAGGCGCAGGACGAGGGGCCAGGACGGGGTCCAGGGCAGGAGCGCGGCCCGCTGGTGGAGGTGCCACCTCCTCGGAGCACTGCGGCTCTACACAAGATGTTGCACATCTCCTCTAATTGGCAGATGGCCTTAGATGGAGATGATTTAATGGCCTGTGTGTGTGTTTTTTCTGCCTCAGTCAGCCATTAGCAGGGACATCTGTAGCGGCTTGGCTCGGCGCACTGCTGCGAGAGGAAGCTATAGAGCAACACTTTCTAATAAGGCGAGTACGGTCGTGACGGACTCGGGCTGTAATCAAAGCACAGGCGTATTGTGCATTTCTTCAGGTTATGATAATAGAGACATCTTGTTTTAAATGAGCTGCACTGAGAAAAATCTATAACAAATCACAGTGTAATGTTGTTTACCTCTGAAACGATCAAACACACTGAGACTGGAGCTGTGACAGACCCTTTTGACCCAAGCGGCAAAGAAGACATTTAGCTAAGCACCATAGAAAAGTCATTTCAGCTTTTCTTCCAAGTGATGGTGTTTGGCACAGCTGTGGCCATCTGCACCGACTGCTGTGGGGTCAGACCTCGAGCTTGTGGAGCCAGAGTAAAGCAGCCTCTAAAGAGACAGGACCAACGCTGATGCTGGCGTCTGAAAGGCAGGAGGTGTGCGCTCCTGTCACTGTGGCCCAGACCAGAGCCCCCTGAACCTGACGGACATCAGTATTCTGCCTCTAGAGTCACACTACAACCACAAACTGGGTCAATTTCTGCATTATTTTAGTTTTATTAAAGAGGTTTTGCACATGCAGCCTTAAGACTAACACCTGCACTTTGTCTGCCTTTTTTATCACCTGTCTCCGAATGAATTAATAAGAACTCACATTTGTCATGTTAACACATAAACGTCAAGTTAAATCCACAAAATGTGCAAACTCTGTAATAAATGTCTAATGAGAAACATTGCTCCAGCTGTGAAAGTCACTTTAGACAAAGTGCACATCAATAGACTAATTAAAAGTGATAGATAGTGGACCAATAGTGTGTCTGACATTTGAAGAGAGAGGTTTGGTGAAGCTACCTCTGTAAATACAGTCTTTTGTCACAGACAGGCCTCCCCTGCAGCCATAAATCTCCAACAGTTTTGAATGTGACATTTGCACATTAACATTAATGAGGAAACGACTGCTGCAGTGGCTGCTGACTGTTTCCATCCATACACCCAGCTCAATGTTTAACTTAAGGAAAAAAATCATCAAATATTTGAATTACCCACACACACCGCTTGGTCACATGAATTTTAATAACTTGCACACCATTTCTAATCATGTGCGTTTGTAGGAGCTTTTCGTGGGAGGTGAATGAGCGACCGGGAGCAGATGTGGGGCAGTAATGAGATGCAGAAAAAGGAGAATTGAGGGGGACAGGACCGGAGCAGAAAAATAGGAGAAGGGTAGAAAATAACTAAGCATCAGATGGAGCAGGGAGATAGCAGTGAGTCTATGAGGTGAATACAAATGGACAGATCCACGCGCTGGAGGAGGGGATGGCCAGGGCTGTAGGCAGATAAAAGAACAGGAGAAAGATACATTCACAGTTGGCTAATGAGAAGACAAAGACGCCGCGATCCAGTTCGATCTCTGCCCTGCAAAGAGCCTTCTCTCGGGCTCACAGCTTTACCCCGAGACACCCACCAACCTCCATCACCCTCCTCTGACACTGAGTGAGATTTATAGAGCCATGTAGATTTATGAAACTTTGAGCTCCGCGGGTGAATTATGCATTTGTCCTGGGCGGCTGGCAGGTGATATGACAGACAGCACCAAACTAAAAGCAGCAAATGAAATGATGGCAGCTTAAATGAGTCAATTTTAGTGAGATGCCGTACAGGCTAAGTCGTCTACGGAAGGAGAGGCAATCAAATATTTATAACGCAAGCACTCAGCAGCAAGGATACGACAAAGAACATGGGCAAAAGTTTACCAATGAGAGGCATAAAAGTGGTGTCGTTTTGAATAAACAACAGCAATAGGACTGTTACACTCGCCACAGAGACTTCTAATAAATGGCTTGCTGCATCAGTAATTCAAAGCGGGACTGCAATGGTAGGCTACCTTTAAAGGAGCTTATCCAAACATCTATGACCTATTTCTACCATTATGTAGGATTTCCATGTAAATAAGCTGCATTTTAAAGAAGTAGAATACAGCCGTGAGACAACAGAAAGTGGACACATGACATAAAAAGTATTATATTGACGTATTTTTTGCATATTTATGTACTTGATTAGGACACAACCGTTACTTTGGGCAAGCCAGATGCACTGCCTTTAGTGCTACAGCAAGACCATGCTAATTTTCAACACTAGTTAAAGGTATATATGAGGATTTTCTACTTCCGGGTGGATCATTAAGCCAATAGGTCCCCCCAAATAAGACCATGGAGTTTTGTTGTTTTGTTGAAGTAAAGAGGGCGGTTCTTTCCTAATATTTGGGGAAATCCTTCTATATACCTTTAACATAGGACAAATCAACTACACATGGTTATCAAGGCAGAAAGCAGCTCAACATCAGAGTTTTCCACAAGATTCTCGAGTCTCTATGAATAAGTTTCTCACAGACAGCCACAGAACCAACTCAACAACTCAATGTGGGGGGACGCGAACACAAACCCGGGCAAAAGCTGCAGCAGGAGGAGTCACTTACTGGAGGTTTGAGCTGTTCCAGTACACCGCATGTCGGTCGTTGGCTCTCGACAGGTGCAAGTTTGTAAGGACCAGGGTGAAGAGGCTGAGGGAGACCGCTGCTGGTGCCATAATCCCGATTCCCGAAGCCAAACGAGCCGTGCGTAAAAGGCAGAGGAAGCCTGGATCCACGCGCTGTCGTCTCGTCTTGTGTCTTCTCAGTGCGTCCCCCTCCTCTGTACCTCTGCTTTTCACAACATCCCACCAAGATAAGAGCAAGAAAAATCACCTTCTCAAGTTCCTTTGACTGAATCGGGTCAATTTCAGACAATCTTGCTTCTCAACTCCCATCCCATCGCGGTGAAAGCCATTTGGAACAGCAGCAGAAGGGCACACGGGCACTTTTGTTTGGAGAGAATGCAGTTTTTTTTTGTTTTTAAGGCAAAGAATCGAGCTTCTTCCACTCGTGAGGTTTGCTGTTTGATGAATGTGGTTTTGGGGGAAAGTGTCCCGGAGGATGGAGGAGGAGAACACGCACCTGCCGCTGTCCCCCCTGTGCGCGAGCGGCGAGAGGAGGCAGACCGCGCCCCCCTTCTGATGTGAAGCCACGCCCACACAGGGAGCCCCCACCACCACCACAAGGAACCAGGAGAGAGATTGGAAACAGAAGAGAAGACGCAAGTTATGGATGTAGTCGGATGCTGCGTGTGGTAAAGCTGGGGTTCTTGATTTTTTTTTTTTTAAAGAGTCTATGCCATGTGGGCCGTGTCACTTGGTGAAAACAAAACTCAAAATGTAGGATTGGGAAGTGAAATGATGTGATGATTAAGAGTGTCTAAGGTGAGAAACGAACTAAAAAATGCAGAGACAATGGACCAGTAAGAAATGGAAAACAAATATATTATATAGACGCAGAGACACAGGGAAAACACATTCAGGTGAGATCCATGGGTTAGGGTTAGAGCTATATTATAATAGAACCATGAGGTAGACAATCAACAAGAGAACAGGAAGTAAACGTCAAAAAGGACAAGATAACAAAGACAACAACATGAAATCATTGGATATTTACATGTGAGCAGATTTTCCACAAACCAACGTGAGTCAGAGTGGATTAACAACCAATCAGCATTCAGCCAAAAAGTCCATCCGTAGCCTCATTCCCACTGCACAAAAACACTGGGATTTTTACCAAACCCTGTGAGAGGAGAGGCCTTTTGTTTACTTACTGAGCGGTCTGGTGTGCCAAAACAACTCGCCATCTAACCCACCTGGCAACATATCAATCAATCTGTCAATCACTTTTCCTACACACTAAGAGCTTCAGAATCCACATCACACAAAGCACAAATCATCACAGAAAGAAATACCATTAAAAACCCAATCACAGGTAATTAAAACCATTAAAAGATTAATCTATTTGGCTGAGGCTGTTTTGTGGAGACACTCATATGGTATAGTAATTCAGACAGCACTAAAGGTGACAACGCTTATAATTCAATCTGCAAAGACTCAGTGAAGATTGCATTAGAATATTTATCGTCAACATGCATGAGTAAACACCAGCAGACTTACATTGAGTACCATTATATTTATTGATTCGCTTTGGCGATTAGACCCCGGCGGGAATATCGCATGACGTAGGACGCAGAGGAGAGTTTAATTATGAGCTTGCGACCCCCCGGGGCCTAGACCCTGGTGGCGAAGAAGCTGAGCCGAAGACATGACATGATACACTGAAGAGGCAGTGATGGGGAGGAGGTGGGTTGCTGCTCGAACTGCCCCTTGAGCTGCAGAGACCTGAGAGGCTCTGATTAAACGCAGCCATGATGAGCACAGGTGTGTTGCTGAGGCGGAGGCTGTTGAGCTCAGGTGCAGGAGTCTGGAGGGACGAGCCGGGGTGGCAGCATGACGTCCCTTTGCTCTTCCAAGTCTGAAGCTTCATAACTGCAGAGAAGTAACTCAAGGGACGTTACTTGGTGTTACTTGTCGTTACAAACATAGACTGTATATATTAACGGACAGAGTGACGCCTATCTCCGCCGTTCTAACTAATGGGCCAAAATATGTGCTCTACTGAAACTATAAGGAAAAGTATCTTCCCAAGTCAGTTATTTTATAGACAGAGACATAGGTACATATAGACAGAGACACAGGTACATATAGACAGAGACACACAGGTACATATAGACAGAGACACACAGGTACATATAGACAGAGACACACAGGTACATATAGACAGAGACACACAGGTACATATAGACAGAGACACACAGGTACATATAGACAGAGACATAGGTACATATAGACAGAGACATAGGTACATGTAGACAGAGACACAGGTACATGTAGACAGAGACACAGGTACATGTAGACAGAGACACAGGTACATGTAGACAGAGACACAGGTACATATAGACAGAGACACAGGTACATTTAGACAGAGACACAGGTACATGTAGACAGAGACACAGGTACATATAGACAGAGACACAGGTACATTTAGACAGAGACACAGGTACATGTAGACAGAGACATAGGTACATATAGACAGAGACACAGGTACATGTAGACAGAGACACAGGTACATGTAGACAGAGACACAGGTACATGTAGACAGAGGTACATGTAGACAGAGACACAGGTACATGTAGACAGAGACACAGGTACATATAGACAGAGACACACAGGTACATATAGACAGAGACACACAGGTACATATAGACAGAGACACACAGGTACATATAGACAGAGACACACAGGTACATATAGACAGAGACACACAGGTACATATAGACAGAGACACACAGGTACATATAGACAGAGACATAGGTACATATAGACAGAGACATAGGTACATGTAGACAGAGACACAGGTACATGTAGACAGAGACACAGGTACATGTAGACAGAGACACAGGTACATATAGACAGAGACACAGGTACATATAGACAGAGACACAGGTACATGTAGACAGAGACATAGGTACATATAGACAGAGACACAGGTACATGTAGACAGAGACACAGGTACATGTAGACAGAGACACAGGTACATGTAGACAGAGACACAGGTACATATAGACAGAGACACACAGGTACATATAGACAGAGACACAGGTACATATATACAGAGACACACAGGTACATAAAGACAGAGACACAGGTACATGTAGACAGAGACACAGGTACATAAAGACAGAGACACAGGTACATAAAGACAGAGACACAGGTACATATAGACAGAGACACAGGTACATAAAGACAGAGACACAGGTACATGTAGACAGAGACACAGGTACATAAAGACAGAGACACAGGTACATGTAGACAGAGACACATGTACATGTAGACAGAGACACAGGTACATAAAGACAGAGACACACAGGTACATATAGACAGAGACACAGGTACATGTAGACAGAGACACAGGTACATAAAGACAGAGACACAGGTACATAAAGACAGAGACACAGGTACATGTAGACAGAGACACAGGTACATAAAGACAGAGACACAGGTACATGTAGACAGAGACACAGGTACATATAGACAGAGACACACAGGTACATATAGACAGAGACACAGGTACATATAGACAGAGACACACAGGTACATATAGACAGAGACACAGGTACATAAAGACAGAGACACAGGTACATATAGACAGAGACACAGGTACATAAAGACAGAGACACAGGTACATAAAGACAGAGACACAGGTACATGTAGACAGAGACACAGGTACATGTAGACAGAGACACAGGTACATATAGACAGAGACACACAGGTACATATAGACAGAGACACAGGTACATAAAGACAGAGACACAGGTACATATAGACAGAGACACAGGTACATAAAGACAGAGACACAGGTACATAAAGACAGAGACACAGGTACATATAGACAGAGACACAGGTACATAAAGACAGAGACACAGGTACATAAAGACAGAGACATAGGTACATGTAGACAGAGACACAGGTACATATAGACAGAGACACAGGTACATATAGACAGAGACACAGGTACATAAAGACAGAGACACAGGTACATATAGACAGAGACATAGGTACATGTAGACAGAAACACAGGTGAAACACATCAGGGCGGGGCAGACAATCTACAGGGGACAGGAAGTGAAACCACCAATGAGAGAACCAATGTCAAAATAAAACCAAATATAGAAAGAAAATCCACACCATGAGAGTTGTGTTTTATTTGGTAAAATGATGGGGCACAGTCTATTTTAATCAACAATAAAGATACAAGAATGAACCAAAAGGCTATGATTCATTTGTAATCCCCTGGAAGTCCAAGATATTCCTCACATCAGAACTTTTCAGAATCTTTCAGAGCCCACAGCGAAGTTTGCCGCCATTTAATCCGACCAAACTCTATTCCTACGTTTTTACATCGAAGCGAATCTCAGCTACCGTTTTAAATGTGAGGAGAGAGAGATTTCTTTCCAAAGCAAGCCCAGACTAGCCCCGCCCATTCTCACCCACGCTGCTTCCTAATTGGACGGAATAAATTGAAATCCTTGATACACAGATGAGGCCGCAACTTGTCTCTTCCAGCTATTCTAAATGGTGAACGTTATTAAACAAATATCTATCTAGACTTTAAGAAAAACTTATTGTACGTAATCCTACTTGTATGTGGAAAAAAATATATCAAAGTTGCAAACATCAGCTTAAAATAGTGTCGTTTTCAGCACAAACAAGTGAAGTTTTTCCACTGAAACAAAAGCAAATGTGTCTAATATTAAAGTTAAAATCTCAAAATCTTTTAAAACATGTCACTCATTCACTTTAATTATTCAAAGGGAGTAGTGGCAGACAAACAGCTTTTTTCATTTCCTTATTATTGCCAAAATATTCATAAATCTGTGGAGAATTGACGAGCTACAAATGAACTTGACAAAAAAACTGCATATTTTGAATTAATGTGATGCTTGAGTTAACAGCTTGATTACTCTTTGGCGTTCGTCTCATTTCCTCCTCGGGAAGTTGTCTTCCGGGCGTTAGAGACAGATCTTTCCAAAGACAATCCTCTCATTACGTTTTTTTTTTAGCTTTGAGGACATTTTACTGCTTTTTTTTTACCAATCCAAGCCCGGTTCGTGGAAAACAGCGCTGTAGTGTGCCACACCTTCAGGCCACAATTCAGTTTTCTGCTCGGACTGTAAGTGGACAATTACATGGACAGGGGAAAATTAATGCATATTCTAGTTTGAGGCAGGTCAGACAGGATGCAGTGGAAGAGGAATGGCTAATTATGATCAGCAGCCGCTCGGTTTCAGAGCCGTTATGCAAAAAAATATTATCACTAATGTGTCTGTGATTAAAGAATGCAATTTATTTGTGAAGGACTTTTGTTTGCCCCAACATCGTTCACTTTTGAATGTTCTGGAAAACGGCTGCAGGTCCTAACTAGCTCTGAAACATGTTTTTATTTTTATTGCTTTTTTTCTGCCTGAGCTGATGCTGCAGTACAGTGTTCATGGTTTTACACTGGTCCCGAACGGAGCAGAGAGGATTCATGGTTTTACACTGGTCCAGACCAGAGCAGAGAGGATTCATGGTTTTACACTGGTCCAGACCAGAGCAGAGAGGATTCATGGTTTTACACTGGTCCAGACCAGAGCAGAGAGGATTCATGGTTTTACACTGGTCCAGAACGGAGCAGAGAGGATTCATGGTTTTACACTGGTCCAGAACGGAGCAGAGAGGATTCATGGTTTTACACTGGTCCAGAACGGAGCAGAGAGGATTCATGGTTTTACACTGGTCCAGAACGGAGCAGAGAGGATTCATGGTCCGAACCAAGTATAGGAGGACTTTCCCAATTGTTTTGCCTTCTGTGGGCAATTTTCAGAATGGCAGCAGGCGGGATAATGTGAAAAACTTATTGGTGCATGCGTTAGCTGCATGAGCCCCATTCATTTTAACGAGTGCATTCAAAAGTCCACACTAGACTGGTCCCAAAAAAAAAATCCTCCCCTCAGCATTGACAGCATCTGGGACAAAGCGTTGGACCAAGAGCGACTTTTGGACCATCCTGTAAAGTCGTTTTTCCAGACAAAAGAAGACGCCATACAAAAGCATTGGGTAATTCTCTTTCCGGGTACACCCCCACCTGGACCTTTTTGAGCCGGAAACCTCATAGAAAATGTATTGTGGGAAATAGACCTGGGGAACACAGCATAATAAGAACAAACTGATGTAGCACAGACATTGACAAACTGTACGCAAGAATATTTGAACCACTTTTGTTTAGAATTTGATTTTTGTCGCTAATTAAGAACGGATTTGAAATGGTTTCCAAGCAAACACTGAAACTCTAATTTGCCCATGATTGCCACAGCAACTCTCTCTCTTTTACTTTTGTTTTGAATCTTGCCGACATCTTAAAGACACAATGATAGAGTTTTGTTTGTGGCTGTTTTTCGCTCCGTAGTTAACCGAGTCTGGGGTTCTGTCCCTGCTGAGTCGGAGAGTGGTGCATGGGCCACGGGGAATTAAATGGAAATGGGAAAACTTTATTTAACCTGTTTAATTTGCCGCTGGTGGGAGCACTCTATCTGTCCTGACGGCAGCATTAACGTCTCGGTTAATTCCAAATATTGGGCATTAGCTCCAGTTTGATTAACTCCTCCAATTTCATATCTCAAAATAGTGTCTTTTTAGAGGATGTAGCTGTAATTGAGACGGTAAATGACGTGATGCAGCTCGGTGCATTCTTGTGAAAATGATTTAGAATTAATGCGATTGTCACTTTTGAGGATGGGGCTTGGACTGGTTTTGTTTTGCCTAGAAACAAGTGTCGTTGGTCTATTTCAAATATGACCCATTGCTGTAGAATTTAGCGCTGGTTTATCTCTGGTTTCTCTACAGACAATTTTAAGGCCGACTCGGTGGTGCTTTAATGTGCTTCACAGCAAGAAGGTCCTGGGTTCTATGACTTCAGACGTGGCCTTTCTATGCGGAGTTTGTATGTGCTTCTCGTTTCTGCATAGGTTTCCTCCAGGTGCTCCGGTTTTTCCACTAAAACATGTACCCTCCTGAAATAGAGACTCTGAAATCTGGGACTAGGATAAAAAAGGTAAAAAAAAACAATATCTTTCATGCATAAAACAAACATGTGTGGATTTACTTATCAGTGGCTATACCTGCATGTGAAAGCGGGTAGTGGTGCAGGGTAGAGCCTGGTTAGTACTGTGATGGGAGACCACAGTCGCCAGGTGCTACAGTAGAGCGGCTGCGGCTGTAAAGTGCTAAACTGTGGTTGTGTCCTTAGGCAAGACACTTCACCCACAATAGAATGAGTCTGGTGTGTGTGTGTGAATGGTTGGTGGTGGTGGGAGGGGCCGATGACACAGACTGGTCACCACTGTGTTCGGCGTGATTGAATATTGACATGTGAAGCTTCTTTGAGTGTCCAGAAAAGAGCTGTATAAAACTGATCCATCATGAGAATGCATTCAAATCTCCTGCTTTTTGCTTCCTCATTTTGTAGTAAACGCTGTACCTTTTGTGCCCCGTTAAAATCCACATTGAAGTTGTTTTAAGAGAGGTCACATTTGCCCTGTTCCCTCTGCTCACACTGTGCTATTGTATAATTCACACAAAAGTTGAGACGTTCCAAGTCCTGTCTCTATTGAATCCTGCAGCGTCACGTCCCCGTTTGGAGAATCCGCTCGCGTTGAGGCCATAAACACAGCGTGGCGTGCTGTCGATGGGACTTTACTGGAGCGCTTGACATTAATCTGGGGCCCTCTCTGATGAATGCTTCTTCATTACACTGTTAGCTGTGGCCCCGGTAGGTCACGGCCATATTTCTTTGACTGAGGGACCTTCTCTCGCTCCTTCTGTTTAATACTCTCCCCGTCTCTCTTTCTTCGCTCTGTTGTTTTTGAGGCACAGATGATGCCTCTCTGGAGCGCCCCCGAGGTATGTTACCGTGGTGACCGGAGTGAAAACGCAAACCACATCACTTTTCTTACCCCCCTTCCTCCGTCGCCGGCGCAGATCAGTCTCCGCCGCACATTTGTCAGGCTTTTGTCACCTCGCACTCAGGGGGACGGGACCACTCCTCACATGCATCTATATATGTGGCAGTTTCCTCATATCTCCATAAACTCATCCCATTGTGAGTCTGTGCTGCGGCTAGAGATGAGAATGTGCAGCTGAAAGTCAATGGTATGGAGCGAATTGGACCGAGTCGACTGAATTTAGACAGAGGTTATGAGATATAAGCAAATTAGGATAATCAATGTAGAAAGATTTCATATATTACAGGGGTTTCCAACCTTTTCTCCTTAATTGGAGCAAAAATCCTCCTATATACCTTAAAGCCCGGTTCACACGAGATAATTTTAAAATTGTCCACTGATTTTCCTAACCTGAGAGACCCCACACACAGAGAAAAAAAATCAAGGGTCTAACCACTTTAGTCGTACAGTGTGTGGTGCGCAGCCACACGGCAAAATCATGCAAATCATGGAGGACGAAGAGGATGCAGTGGCGATAGTTTGCAGTTTGTTGTCGGCCCGGGGTGGTACTGCAGCATGTCAGCGCACGTCATTTTGGCCACTTTTGACCCGGACCCGCCCCCACTGGTCTGAACACACCACACATGGCAGGATAATCAGATTTTAAAATGGCCTAACTATCCTGTCGTGTGAACTAGGCATAAAGCAGTGGTCTCCAACCTTTTTCAATCAGTGCATCTTTTATACAACAGAAGAGGCCTCTTTATTGCAGTCGTAATAAAAATCCATCTAATAATTAAGAAAAGAGAGAAAACACATGCAGCACAATATACTGTAAAATATACCGTATTTAACTTAGAACAGATATGTATTGACGCAATGTATTCATTCAAGATTTTCTACTTCCGGGTGGATCATCAAGACTATTGGTCCTCCCAGTCAATCATTCTGGTGATACGTGCTCGTCAAATAAGAACGTTCTTTTTCCTGCACTAACAGAAAAAATGTGAATAATATTAGTATTAGAATAACACTGATAGAGATGCAGTGTTTTCTTGTTCCCTCGTCTCCTGACACTATAAGTATTAACAGATTTACACAAAGTCAGGACATAAAGATCAATGTTCAGACGCTCTCTCCCTGACTCAGGTTGCCAGATATGCAGACGAATCCAGCTGGGACCATAACAGCTGAATAGACAAGAGTTTAGTCAACAACAAATCTATAACCAACACCTTTTTCACAAAGATAGAAATCCTGGTTTTATTCCTTGTTTTGTCGTTAATGATTTGAGAATCATAACGAGACCTTTTTTAGTTCTGCGCCACATGGTACTTTACCAGTGAGATTAGCTCCACGCGGTGGGTTCTGGCGCCCGGATCACAGACTTTCTGATTGGTAAAACGGTGGAGGGCGGGACATGGAAATGAAAACAATAACAAGATTTAGAGGCTGGAAAAGTAATTTATAAATGTTGTTATCAGTTAAAGAAGTATTGGAAAAGAGCAGTTTTTATTAATGCCTTTGACAGATTAGGGCCCTTTAATAATGACAGATTAAGGCCCTTTAATGATGACAGATTAGGGCCCTTTAATGACGACAAATTAGGGCCCTTTAATGATAATATTTAATAATAATGCATCAGTTTTATACATGTCATTATTCTTTCACTCCAAACACGGTGGTGATAAACTACTGTAGCCACAGCTGCCCTGGGGCACACTGACAGAAGTGAGGAAACCAGTCTGTGCCATCAGCCCCTCCCACCACCACCAACCATTCACACACACACCAGACTCATTCTAGGCAATGGGGGTGAAGTGTCTTGCTTAAGGACACAACAGCAGTTTGGCACTTTACAGCCGCAGCCGCCCCACTGTGGCTGGTGTTCCCAGAGGTTAAGTGTCTTGCCAAGGACACAACGACAACGACTGTGGGAGTCGATGGTGAAGGTCGGGCTAGAACCCACGACCCTCTGGCTCAAAGGCCAATGCTCTACCAACTGAGCTACTGAGATTAGGCCCCTTTGATGATGACAGATTAGGCCCCTTTGATGATGACAGATTAAGGCCCTTTAATGACGACAAATGAGGGCCCTTTAAAGATGACAGATTAAGGCCCTTTAATGACGACAGAGAAGGGCCCTTTGATGATGACAGATTAGGGCCCTTTAATGACGACAGATTAGGGCCCTTTAATGATGACAGATTAGGACCCTTTAATGATGACAGATTAGGCCCCTTTGATGATGACAGATTAGGGCCCTTTAATGACGACAGATTAGGGCCCTTTAATGATGACAGATTAGGGCCCTTTAATGATGACAGATTAGGCCCCTTTGATGATGACAGATTAGGGCCCTTTAATGACGACAGATTAGGGCCCTTTAATGACGACAGATTAGGGCCCTTTAATGATGACAGATTAGGCCCCTTTGATGATGACAGATTAGGGCCCTTTACTGACGACAGATTAGGGCCCTTTAATTACGACAGATTAGGCCCCTTTGATGATGACAGATTAGGGCCCTTTAATGACGACAGATTAGGGCCCTTTAATGATGACAGATTAGGGCCCTTTAATGATGACAGATTAGGCCCCTTTGATGATGACAGATTAGGGCCCTTTAATGACGACAGATTAGGGCCCTTTAATGACGACAGGTTAGGGCCCTTTAATGATGACAGATTAGGCCCCTTTGATGATGACAGATTAGGGCCCTTTAATGACGACAGATTAGGGCCCTTTAATGACAACAGATTAGGGCCCTTTAATGACGACAGATTAGGCCCCTTTGATGATGACAGATTAGGGCCCTTTAATGACGACAGATTAGGGCCCTTTGATGATGACAGATTAGGGGCACTTTAATGATGACAGATTAGGGCCCTTTAATGACGACTCGACATGAAAATCTTAAATATTGCTACTTTAATCCTAATTCATTGCATAATCTCTCATATATGTCATTCACTTTTCCTATAGGGTGTAATTACATTTGCCGTCCCAACACTATATATACATTCAGCCGCACTTGTGGACTGCAAATGGATCCATATCTCGTGTGCTTCTCTCCTTTCAAATGAAAATGGAAATGCATATTGTATGTTTTGTCACCTCCGAGCCCTGCCACTCCACGCCGCCCCCTCATATCTCCTGCATATCCCTCATAAACTGATGCTTCCTCAGATTCATTTATTTTCGCCATTTGCAGTAACACTACATTGGAATACATTAGTAAAAGTTCCCAGTGTGCACAGGACAAGTACAGACACAAAACAACATTAAAAAACAAAAATAAAACAAATTTTAAAAACAGTTAACAAATGTCACTGTGAAGTTGACCAACTAAAACAGATCTATACAGGTGCAAAAAAAACATTAAAGTGCTCTATTCAAACTGATAACAGCTCGTGGAAAGAAACTATTAGCATAACGAGCTGTCCTGCATCTCAGAGAACAGTATCTTCTGCCAGAGGGAAGAAGCTGGAACAAGGCTTTTCCTGGGTGGCCAAAAGAGTCATTGATAATTCTCAGGGCACTGTTAAAAAGTCTGGACCTATTGTGCGTGGCCCTCCGAGCAGCGCCAATGAAAGCCAGCTGCAAATATAAAGACTGACATTTAATATGTTTCCGGCGACAACCAGCAGAGGCAGCGTTGCATATTTATGACCGTCTTCTGCATTTGCGAGTGTTGTTTTAAACATAAACCGAGGATCCTGAAGTCATAAGTTATTAAAGACATTTGTTGTTTTCTCAGCGAGCTCTCCGTGCAGCTGTGCTTTGCTACAGGCGCCCCCTGCACTACGTTACCTTGACTCTGTGATTCTCTGTGATTCATTTATGAGCAGAAGCAAAGGGTTTATTGATTATTCACATTGTTTGCTATCATCAATCAGCCTCAAAACTTCCATATATCCTTCGTCATGTCAAACTGAGCGGCTTTATCTCAAGCATTATCTCTGAACGCAATCTCATTAAAGGAGATCTACAATGAATGAAACATCTTGTCTCCGGGTTTTTAAACAAAAGACGCCGTGTTTCTTATTGTAAAAATAAAGCTTTAAAGACCTTATGACGGGTTTGATTTATTTAGAAATACAGTTTTAATACCATTTTATATTAGAAGAGAACTACTAAAGGTTTCAAAATCAGTTGTTGTTTTTTTTGTCTGATCCCCCCAAATCGAAATAACCCCATAGCAACGCCCTTAGAGACGGAAAAACTTCACAGCCCTTGGTGACGTCAGAACGGGTACGTTTCAACGCTGTAAGTTGTTTACAATTTGGTATTCGTTCTTTTTTCGCGGATATTCAAGATGACAAGGCCGTGTACAGCGAGTATGATATTAGTATTACATTATAACACTTGGTTGTCACTGAGATAGTCCAGTGGTTGTGTCGATGGACTGCCAATCCAGATACTGGGGTTCAAATCCCAACTCAGACACTTTTTCACTCTCAAAACGGCAATTTATGTGTAGTGAGCAGTTGTCACCTGTAGAGGGCAGTATTGTGTTGGGCATCAGTGGAGAGAAGAGAGAAAAGGCAGTCCTGTGGCATAGATCCATGGTTTTCAATGCATGGGCGTTACCCGCTGTGACGTCACACACAGGTTAGAGCATAGACAACTTAAATTCATGAAAAACATGTTCTTTTTCTAAAATATAGGATTTTTTTTGCCGGAATCTCTTTCAAATTGACATTGTCATGCAATTTTCATATCCACTATTTTTTTTTTAAAAACCCGTCATAAGGTCTTTAAAGGTCAAAACAAATGCTGTTAACTTATTATAGTCGTATCACATGAGAGCAACTTCCAGCATGTGTGGTACTGTACACTCATGTCTCACATTTTTAAGAAGACTGTTTAGTCCCTGTGCTCCTCAGAGTCCCAGCAGGAGGCTTTTATGTGTTTGTACTCATACTTATGCTAACCGACATGTTCATACTTATGCTAACGGATCAGACCTTTCCCTCAGAACAGTATTGTCTTGGGTTTAATATACGTGGATTAAAACAAAGCCTTCTTGATGGAATGTTTTGTCCAGAGACGTTGTCAGTAAACAACAATCTATTTGATTAATCTCTGTAAATGCCACTCAAAATGCCATTTTTAATTCAAAATAAGAGCAATAAATCGTAGACACTGTGGAGCAGAAATCTGAGGAGAGAATGTGACGAATGGATTAAAGGAATTTTCTAGATCTTGATGCGAGTCTAAACAAAACCATAGGCTGTAAACACATGGATAATGCTGAACCTGCAGCTCAATGAAGCCCAGTAGGGAAGTGCTCATGGTCAAAGTTTTGATCCTTTTTCTCTTTCCGCTGTGCTCTGTGTCTGAGGAAGTTTAGGGTTAATAATTACAAATGCATCGATACAATATAGAATCAAATAATGGTGCTGACTCGGATTTGTTTTGTATCTGGGATCAACTCTGTTTTATCAGTTCAGATGATTCCAAAGAATAATTAAAAACAGACTGATATTAATCCTGAACGTCACAGAATTCCAACTCTGCAATTCCGTCACTGTGCACGTTATAGCTTGATAACATTGAAAGCAGAATTATGGAGACCGGTATTGGACATGGAAATGCTCAATCTGTGCATTATTTACTCATTTTTTCTACGTATTTGTGTAAAATGTCATTGAGCGAGAGGTTCTGAACAGGTACACCCACACGCAGCCATCTTCTTGACATAATTGGAATGTTTTCTTTATGTTATTTGTGAACTCAGCAGCGCAATCCCTCCAAAGAAAAATATCTTCCCCTAAAGATCACCCATCATATTTTCTCTTAGGTAAGGTCCCATGGGTGCCCTGGCAGCAGCTCCACAGCCTCATAGTCTCAGAGGATGAATGAGGAGGGTTCAAAGTTAAGAGTAGAAGACGAAGAGCCCCAGGCCACTGATAGATCAAGGTTGGAGGCAGTAGAAATTACAAAGCATGCATCAAGGGAGACATTCAGAAGGTTAAAGAGGAGGGAAGACTGAGGGAAGACGGCGAGGAGACGGCGAGGAGACGGCGAGGAGACGGCGAGGAGACGGCGAGGAGACGGCGAGGAGACAGCGAGGAGACGGCGAGGAGACGGCGAGGAGACGGCGAGGAGACGGCGAGGAGACGGCGAGGAGACGGAGAGGAGACGGCGAGGAGACGGCGAGGAGACGGCGAGGAGACGGAGAGGAGACGGCGAGGAGACGGCGAGGAAACGGCGAGGAGACGGCGAGGAGACGGCGAGGAGACGGCGAGGAGACGGAGAGGAGACGGCGAGCGGAGACGGCGAGGAGACGGCGAGGAAACGGCGAGGAGACGGCGAGGAGACGGCGAGGAGACGGCGAGGAGACGGCGAGGAGACGGCGAGGAGACGGCGAGGAGACGGAGAGGAGACGGCGAGGAGACGGCGAGGAGACGGAGAGGAGACGGCGAGGAGACGGAGAGGAGACGGCGAGGAAATGGCGAGGAGACGGCGAGGAGACGGCGAGGAGACGGCGAGGAGACGGCGAGGAGACGGCGAGGAGACGGCGAGGAGACGGCGAGGAGACGGCGAGGAGACGGCGAGGAAACGGCGAGGAGACGGCGAGGAGACGGCGAGGAGACGGCGAGGAGACGGCGAGGAGACGGCGAGGAGACGGCGAGGAGACGGCGAGGAGACGGCAAGGAAACGGCGAGGAGACGGCGAGGAGACGGCGAGGAGACGCGAGGAAACGGCGAGGAGACGGCGAGGAGACGGCGAGGAGACGGCGAGGAGACGGAGAGGAGACGGCGAGGAAACGGCGAGGAGACGGAGAGAGGAGACGGCGAGGAGACGGCGAGGAGACGGAGAGGAGACGGAGAGGAGACGGAGAGGAAACGGCGAGGAGACGGAGAGGAGACGGCGAGGAAATGGCGAGGAGACGGCGAGGAGACGGCGAGGAGACGGCGAGGAGACGGCGAGGAGACGGCGAGGAGACGGCGAGGAGACGGCGAGGAGACGGCGAGGAGACGGCGAGGAGACGGCGAGGAGACGGCGAGGAGACGGCGAGGAGACGGCGAGGAGACGGCGAGGAGACGGCGAGGAGACGGCGAGGAGACGGCGAGGAAACGGCAAGGAGACAGCGAGGAGACGGCGAGGAGACAGCGAGGAGACGGCGAGGAGACGGCGAGGAGACGGCGAGGAAACGGCGAGGAAACGGTGAGGAGACGGCGAGGAGACGGCGAGGAGACGGCGAGGAAACGGCGAGGAGACGGCGAGGAGACGGCGAGGAAACGGCAAGGAGACGGCGAGGAGACGGCGAGGAGACGGCGAGGAAACGGTTGCTGTGGTTCGTTTAAATGTGGAAGACAATATGATGCTGCCGTGTTTTTCAGTTATAACATTTTTAACTCTCTTGGTTTCACATTAGCCTGGTCTTACCGCACCACTGTACTCATTTTATTTCGTACTAAGGTCTGGATTTGCTCCATTGACTCCGTTAACAAGTGGGAGGGGCTAACTCCTTTTGCAGATCGAAACCATTGGATCTGAGTTTACTGTGACGTATGTAATGAGCCCGAGTGAGTGAGGCATTTAGCCTAGCTTTAGCCATCTCCTTTGTCGCTAACGGAGCCCGTGGGGTTTAGAGCCACAACATCTTTGCAGCAATGACATTTACTAAACTTTCCTCTTTCTCCGGCTTCGATTCTTATTTTTTATATTTGTATGAGGTTTGTTGGACCCAACCTGGGGAGGGGCTCGTGGACTTTGAAAGCATGAAATTCCATCCATCCCTTTTTTCCTGCTTTAATAAAAATAACAATAATAAAACATACAACACCGTTTTATAAGAGCACATTTTTGGACTCTCAAAGACGCTTCACATGTTGTTATTCTCTCTCTCCAAACACAGTGATAAACTACTACTGTAGCCACAGCTGCCCTAGGGCACACTGACAGAAGAGATGCAACCAGTCTGTGCCATCAGCCCCTCCCACCACCACCAACACACACATCGGACTCATTCTAGGTAATGTGGGTGAAATGTCTTGCCTAAGGACACAACCACAGTTAGGCACTTTACAGCCTCAGTCGCCCCACTGTGGCTTCAGGTGTTCCCAGAGGTCTCCCATCACTGTACTAACCAGGCCCTGCCCTGCACAGCTGCAGAGGTCCATCGGGATCTGGCTTTTTTCATGCAGGTATTGCTTTAAGCAGCAGTCTTTGTTTACTCTCTGTCCCGACCCCCATGAAACCCTCTGCGGGTGGCGCCCCCCACAGGGAGGCAGACCCACGCCTTTCCCCGGATCTGACCCGTACTGGGCCCATGTGTGAGACCAGCTACACACACGCACACACACACACACACACACGCACACACACGCACACACACACGCACACGCACACACACACACACACACACACACACACACACACACACACACACGCACACGCACACGCACACACACGCGCGCACGCACACAGAAACCTCACCATCGATTTTTCACTACACAAACAGATTGTCGGACCTGTCTTCCATTGGAGACGCGAGGCCCTAGAGCTATGTTGCCAAGGGCCTAGGGCGTTTTGCTCCGGCCACAAAGATCTTGGGATCATCCAGGGAGAGCTCACTCCCCCATCACGGTCAGGTGGAAGTGCAATTCTGCTTTAAAATAACAAAGTGCATTCTGGGCTTTTTGCTGTTGAATATAAGTGTCCCATAAACACAACAACCGCACTAACCTTTCCTTCAACTCAGACTTCTTTCTGCAGGACGCCTTGACCTCTTGAGGATTTGAATTTGAAGTCCTTTTACAACGGAACAGACTTGTGTGAAATGATGAAGAGAGGGGACCCATATTTTGAGCTGTAAATGTGGCCTTCAAAGCACATTCAAACACTTGGTTTTAACTGGACTCGGTTCACTTCAGAAGGAAACGCATAAGTCGCAAATGTGCAGGTAATGCTGTGCTTGTGGACAGTGCTTCCAAACACGAGGAAAGTGTGGAAAAGTAAAAATAAAATGAATCTGAATCTAAACGTGAACTGCTGAAAATAGTTCTGTATTAATTCATTTTGCTTTTAACCTTTTTAAGACTTTAAAAATAAATAATGTTTCTGGGAATGGACTGCCCTAGAGAGTTGTGTGAGCCCTGACCTATGGCTCTGACCTGCGGAGTTCCACAGGGGTCGATCCTAGAACCTCTTCTGTTCTACATGCTTCCGTTAGCTCAGTTAATACGCAGTAACTTGAGAGCAGTGCTACTGTTTATAAGAAAAGATAAACTTTATTGATCTCACAATGGAGAAATGTACATGTCACAGTTGGCATAGATAGAATCACATAGATAGAAGTGTGCCAACATTAAAAACCTAGTCTGTGCAGAATTTATTATGTACAATAAACAGTGGCAATAGCACTATCCTAGTGCATTATCCCATTGTAGAAATATACAGTCTCAAAGTCATCACATCAGAGTCTGGATGAACTACAGGTTTATAATAAATCTATATCTTTACCCGTAGTCGGGGGTAACGGGCACTCGGGACAGTGTTGTGGGGGGTGGTCTCTCCCTGAAGTCCTTCTTGTCCCTGCAAGTGCAATGCTTAACCCGAGCCGCTCCAGTAAGTACCCAGCTGCGCTAACAGCTAATGTGATTGTGGAGATATAAGGCCGGGATAATGGCATCTGCCAAAGCAATCAGGAACAATGTTGGAAAGGCAGCGTGAGGGAATGGACGAGAGATGAGGGGAGATGAGGGGAGCCTTTGGGGAAGCGAGCCGTCTGTGGGCCATTGATCTGAGCAGAGGACAGAGCCAACGAGGACACGCTCCTCCAGGCTCCGGGGAAAATAACATTAAGACTAAATTGGCTTGAATGGATGGTGCAGTGGTTTGTTCATTATTTAAAACAAAGTGATCATAAGGGAGCGTGATGGACAGACAAAGCTGAAGTGTGACTGGCGTTGGTGGTAAGTACATTTTCTTCCTTGCCGATGCAGGAGAGACTGTTAGACTGTCAGAGGGTCTAACAAAAACCATTCAACAACTCTTATGGACATTGGTCTCTCCCTATTGACCAATATCTATGTGTTCTCTGTTCTGTGTTGGCGATTTCAACGGTTTGGTTAAGTCCTCTGAGATAACTACTGTTGCGATGGTTATACAGTGTTAGTTGTAACCAAAGAGCTCAGAGCTGTGAATCCTGCACCACACCTGCTCACGATGGAGTGTGTGAAGGCTTCTCGATTACATGGGAAGAAAACATGGACTGGTGTGCAGATTTTACTTTCATTTAGTAAGTTATTTTTATTTATATACCGCATTTTTACAGATCAAGGTCACCCCAAGCACTTTACAATGTTCCGAGTTTAGATATTGTTTCATTTTTATATGACTTAGATCGTTCGTGCGCTCTGATTGGCTGATTTGCGGTCTGATATTTTCCCATCTCGGACCGTTACCATGACAATCGGTCCGCAGCGTGTATCAGATCTTTCCTCGGTAAAACAGAAATAATGAGCGACGACTGCGAGCATTCTCAGTGAATTCCATTATCCGGACGAGTTGGAAGAGCCAGAGGAGCCAGAGGAACTCGTAACAGTCAAGAAGAGATTGACAACTTCGTTACAGACCAGAACGGTAAAAACATGAACCTTGAACATCAACCTTGTTTGCACAACCTTGGTCTTTTTGCACAGACCTCGCCACGGCTCGGCCTGTACAAAAAGGCAGTGGTCTGAAATTTCTCTGTACAGACCTCGTGCTCGGTTAATAAGCCGTTATTCTCTCCACGCGGTGATGACGGAAGCGAGACTCCGAACACACTGCACCATCAAAGTCTCCGACCAAACACCATCTATTAGTATTAGATAGCAATATGGCCTACGTGCAGGACTGTACAAGGACTCTACAAGGACTCCATGTTATGACTATGATGTGACTGTCTCTTTGTGACACGTATGTCTTTCGATGTGTGACGTGACAATGACTATATAAACTGTGTACTGCCTTTATTCTGTCTGAGAGAAAGAAACAGAGTAAACCAGTGGAACTTGAGAGAAACTTAAATAAACTTCCAGAGTTTGGCACACCACGATCCGTCTCTGTCTGCTAAATCCTAACAGATTTGGTGGAGAATGCGCGGCTCAGTGTGTGCCATTCTCTGGATTGTTTTGGGGGAGTTTGCTTTGTTTCTTTTCCTCGGCGTGAGAGACCGGCATGCTGTGTCTGGGAGCGGAGATTCCAGCAGGCTGGAAGAGCTGTTCCTGGATGCTTCTTGTCGCTTCTGTCACTTTTGTTTTTTTAAATTGAATATTCCGACGCGGAAAAGAGGTTGGCAGACCTCTCGGACAGTCCGTGCACGCACCTGTTTGACAAGAATAAGGTAAGCAGACACCTTTTTAAATGTAAAGTCTGCATAATTGGATACTAGCTAAATTTTGGTCTGTTTTTGAGGTCTGTCAAACTCTCTAATTGTATTTTCAAATAAGTGAGGATCCATAAAGTGTTGGCCATAAAGTGTATAGGATCCATAAGTGAAAAGGCCATAAAGTGAGTGAAGGATCCATAAGTGAAAAGTGTTGGCCAGAAAGTGAGGATCCATAAAGTGAAAGCCTCGGGTTGTCCATTAAAGTGGAATAGGATCCATAGAAAAGTGTAAAGGCCATATAAGTGAGGATCCATAAGTGAAACCATGGTGTAAAAATTAAAAGTAATTATAAAAAGGGAAACGTGTTAAGAGGCCTTTGTTACAAAAGCTTTGAAATTGACGAATTTCAGGCTGATAAATGACAAAAGTAAAGAAGCAACAATATTTCAGTGATCACGGTTTAAATTACATACAGAAAAAGGGAGTTTTTGTTTTTTTGGAGTGAACAGAGTTCACCGGAGAATGCAGAGTTTTATCTAAAGTTGAGCTATGAGAGCTTTCGTGAGTTATTTACATTTTTTGCCGAGTTTTATCTACAGTTGAGCTATGAGAGGGCTGTATCCAACAGTTGTTTTTGTTTTTTAGAAAGAGATTTTAAGTTTAAATTAGTTTGCTACCTCGATAAAATAGAAGCGTAAACGTTAAAGACAAGAGTGCCTTTTGTTACTAGTGTGGAAAGTGGCCATTTCTAGATTTGGATGACAAAAGTATAAAGAACAACATTAGTTATATTCGCTTAACAAAGTAATCTTGAAAGTTATTCTTCTGTATCTTTTTGCCTGTGTGTGTGCGTCGCTCTATCTGCTGCCGTTGTCAGGGAAACGGCCCCCTCCTTCGCTGCTCTGGCTGTGAATCTGAAGCAAAGCTACTGCTTTAGGACTTTTGGCTTTTCATAGTAGTTATTCCGTTAAATTTGCTAAATTTGCCATTTGAACATTGTGTTAGACACAGTTAAACGTTTTTAAACACCATTAGTGAGTAAGTTTTGAATATTATATGTTTTTTGAAACCCAAAGATTAGTACAAAAAGCTTGGCTTTTCTTTTTAAATCTGCTGCTTATTTTGTGAGTCCATTATTGTATCTCTGATATATTTCATAGCTGTTTGTGAGAATTTTTTCATGTATTTTTTATTTTAGTTACAAAAGCCGTTTTTCAAACATTTAAATTAGAATCTGTTAAAAGTGATTAATGATTGTAGACTTCGTCTAAAAAAGAAAGAGGGAATTAGGCTGTAAAAGTATTATATTATTAAGTTAAACTACCCAATTCACCCAATTCACATTCAAGTGGTGACTTTTGTTTTTGTTTTGACTATGCACCTGACCTTCCTCCTGCTGCAGATGCACGCAGCACAGGAGCCTGGTCTAAAATGTGCTCCAATTCATACTGACTTCATTTGAAAAATGCTGCAATTATTATAAATTAGTAAAATATATGCTGAGATAAATGCACAGATAATTAAACACACAGTACAAAAGTACATAATACATATTTTAAAGTTTGAAGGTTTAAGAGATTTGAGTCTTGTTTTTTATTAAGAAAGAGTTTCTGGTCTTCAAATGTCATCATTAGTAAGAGAATAAGTAATCTTTATTTACATAGCGCTTGGGAAAGCCAAGAGCGCTTCAAAATTGTTTAGACTTCAGAGAGAAAAACAATCTCATTCACAATCTCTGTTGTTTTTAATTTGACTATAAGGTTGTTTTCCAGAACCAAGAGCACACACTGTACAGGGTCACTGGACTGCTGGACACTGGACAGCGCAAAGCCCACCCAGCCACAGGTCACAGATCAAAGAGCAAAGGGAAATGCCACCTCCTTGCCCCTCCCCCCACTACAGAAGTAAGTGGGAGTGAGACCGGGGCCATGAAAGAGAGGTATCTGGAGACGTGATGGGTGGAGCGTCAGGTAGAGACCTAGAGGGAGTTGAAAGTGTGTCCAGTTGGTTTACATCACCACAGTGTGACCTTTGAGACCTACAGGTGGTTCGAGGAGTCTGGAGAGACAACCCCAAAATTCACATACACACACACACACACACATTCACTCACACATTCACATTTACATATAGATACATGAAAAAGCAGAACATGAAAAAAGCATTTTAAAAGTTTACTCCAATGTAAACACATTTTTAATTGTCTATCACTTGAATCTTTAGTTGAATCAGTATTTTTTGAGACCAGAAATGTTCATTTGAATTCTATATTGTCATGGACTTAATTGACCTCTGTCCTGACACTTTTTATGTTTTGATTTTGTACTGTGTGAAGTAATTACATTGATGAGGATTAGATCTGATAAAAACACAAATTAGAGAAGTAAATTGCACTTGCTTTTGTCTGAGAGACATTAGCAACAGCATGAATAGAAATTGTGTTAAAGTAGAATCAAAGTGACTTAACCATAGAAAGTAACTATTGCATAACAAGCTGTGTACAGGAACTGAGACACTGCACCATTGACCAGAAGTGCATCGCAAATGACCTGATGTGCTTCAAGTGAAAAGACTGTATCTGGAGATCCTGATGTGCATCTGGAGACCAAAACCATGGCTTGGACCCTACTGATGTCCAAGATGACATCTCTCGAAATATGACCTGACCTGATGAGGACTGAGACTCACCCTGAGGACCCTGAGGATCTGAGAGAGAGAAAACTGGGGAGTGATGTTTATATTTTTGAAATCATACATTGATGAGTGCTAAATGAGAGAGATACTCAATGATTCTTTCTTTTGTTTTTGTTTGTCCCTAGCTTCTGGACATCTGATGATCTATTGGACACAGCCATTTGCAGAACAAGAACCAGCCAATGAAAACGTCTATTGCCGATGCTATTGCTACAACCAGAACCTGTGACAAATGCAATATACATGTTAAGTATTCAGACATCTGACAGACAAAAACTTTGAAAATGATAAAGTATGAGTATTGTAGCGTTTTAGTAGATGTTAAATAGTAGTAAAAGAGTAGAATTGTCCTTCCTTTGTTTTTCATAAACATATTTCCACATAAGAGTTAAAATAGTACCATACAATGTTATCCTTTTGATAGATCAGCTATAATATTAGAATCAGAGTATTTTAGAGATATTAAAAGTGACAGAAGTCTAAAATGCACAGGAGTAGCAGAATTCATATGGCAAACATTTGCATAAACTTGCCATATAAGCATTTAAGCGTCCTGCACATACGCACGGGCTCATTCACCGCGTTCTCTTAGTATTAGATCCAGTG